AAAAAAAAAAAAAAAAAAGTCAATGAAGACATTAAAAAAAGACAAAGGTAAGAGTACTGTAAACTAAAACTGAGTCAGCCATTTACAAAAATCTGGGAGGAACTTTTATTATTTGAAGCTGAATTAAGAAACATAGTTGATAGATTACAAATCCTTTGCCATCTGAACAGTACATAACCATCTGGGAAATAGATACGAGACAGCCACCTTCTCTAGTGTAGATGACATCCACCCTCTCAGCTTAGGCATGGGAAAGGGCAAGGCTGACCCACAGATTGTGGGTGTACAGTAAAGGAAGTCAGCGTCCATGTTCTTTCCCCAATAGTGTAAATAGTTAATGCCACCATAACAGAGCAAGAACAGCTGTGAATAAGAACAGTTGTGAAATGAAATTAGTCAGCAAGTGTGGTCAAGCAAGAAGAAGTGGGATTGTTGACAGGACATCAGCCAAGTCATAATTATAAAATAGTGAAGCATTCCCATTAAAATCAAGAAGAAAATAACAATGTCGGATATGTCAGTATAATTTAACACAGTTTTAGCAATTCTCACTAAAATAGTAAGAATAAAAGATGAAACTGTTGAAAAGGAATAGGCAAATTGAATACTGTTTGAAGATAATAGATTGCAGATTTATAAAATGTAAGGGAATTTACTGAAACACTGTTCGAATTAGTAAAGAATTCAATAAAAGTGGCTGGATTCAAGATAAATATACAAAAAGTGGTAGTTTCTCTTAAGACCAGCTATATCTGGTTAGAAAATATAATGGCAAAAATGATCACCTTTATAATAAAACCAACAAAAAATAAAAACATTAAATGCTCAGGAATAAACTACCTTAACAAAAACATTAAGGTAAATGTATCATGCTATTCTGTATAAAGACAGAATATTAAATAGTTGTCAGTTCCCAAATTAATTTGGATAGTAGAATACTTAAAAACATTTGGGGAGGGAGATACTGACAAAATAGTTCTAAATCCACATAAATTGGCAAACAAGATTAAGATATTTTCAAAAGGAAATATTTCTAACAGTAAAGTATATTATAAAGATACAATAGTTATAATAGTATAGTGTTGGTATTGGGATAGAAAGTAATTGATAAGTGATTCAATGAGATCCATAAACATAGCTGAGGAGTAGACATTTACTTAGAATAGCATATATGATGAATATGGCATCATAAATCAGGAAGAGAAGGATGATATATACATGGAGCTAGAGCAATTATTTTTATAAGAATATATTTTCACCACGTATACCCAAAATTTGTATATAGATTAAATAACTGTTAAAAGTACAAACCATACACAATATCTAGAAAATGTGCTGTTAAATAGTAACACTTTATTTTGGCTTTAATGGTCACAATCCGTTATGCAATTCAGAGGTTCATGTCACTGTAAGAAGTAAGACTTAGCAAAATTATTGTCATTTCTTTTTCCCTTCTTCATAGATATTCGAATACCACTAATGTGGAAAGACTCTGATCACTTCAGCAGTAAAGAACGTGTGTATGATTTTAATTTGTAATTGAAATGTTTTCTTTAGTATATAGTAAATTTGTGATTATTGGGAAAAATACTGCTTCCACACTGAAAGAAATTGATGTCATTTGGCAGAATAAGCAGAATCTTGCTGAACTGTTGTTTTTTGATTTTAATATAAATATGTAGCAATCGCTTGATACTAATTAAGATTATGCATATCAAGTGTACTTTTCGTTGTTGATAGGAACCTGTGCAAGCATAGTAAGTTATGGATGCAGGGTGAGGTGAAGGGAAGGGAGAAGTATGGAACAAAAGAAAATATTTAAGGAAAAGGTAAAGGCAATGTTTCTCCTGTTTGACCAGAATCTAGAAGATCTTTTCTGCCTTATTTTGTTACTTTAGATATATTTAGTGGGATGTAAAAGGAAAGATTTTTAGTTTTTAGCTTGATCTGATTTTTTTTTCCTTCAGCATTTTATGGCTTTATAGATAGAGTCTTCACAAATCCATATATTGCTCAGGTCATAGAAATTAACCTCAAATGATTTCTAGCTGTTAGAGGCAAAGCAGGAAAGATATGATAATCCTTTTGTCTTTCTTGTCTATTATGATGCTTTGTTCCTCATACTTTAAAATCTGAATTGTGTTGAGCATAATTAGTTTTATATGAAGAATTTAAAATCAGGTTAGTGTTTGTTATTCAATTAGGAAATATAATTTACTTTACAAAGGAATACGTGTGGGAATTAAGTAAATCTTTCTGATTACTAAAGAGAATAAGTTTTTCTGAAGAGATACATTTTCTCAATAGTGAGGATTTAGTCCTTTAACCACCTAATACTTTTTAAAACAGCACCAAATTAAAAGGCCCAGCAGCTATGTTTTCTGTCTTCCCATGTCTAATTTTTGTAGGTTTTGTTGGTTTGTTTGTTTTTGTGGCTTCCTCTCTTGCTGTTAGTTTGGTGGAAAATATTTTGCTGTTGTTAATATGCCTCTTAATCTCTTCTAATAAAAAAAAGTCTTTTTCTTAAATAGACTTGGAAACCAAAATGACAGAGGTAATATATATATATATATAATAACTTTGCTATTAATTAAAGCTTAAAGAGTTTTCTAGAAATAAAATTTCTGAATTTGGTGGTTTCTTTAGGCTGCTAAGAGGCTTTGTATTTAACTGTCTTTTTGATACTTCCTTGTTTACTTGTGTTCTATTTGGATAAGGTATTTATTTCTATATACTAAAAGCAAAATCACTATAGAACGTTAAGGATTACAACATACAATATATGGAAATAACCTATTAACAAATATTTAAGCTAATTTTCATTGTCAAGTGGACTTTAATATAATGTCATGATATATATGGATTGTTGCTTAAAATGTTTTTGTTCTCTAGGATCTCAGCGCTATGCCATTTTTTGTTTATTCAAAATGGGAGCCGAGGTTTTTGATACTGACATGGTGATTGTGGATAAAACAATCACAGATATATGTTTTGAAAATGTAACCATATTGTAAGTATTTTTTTAATCTTCAGAGAATGAAAATAATCTAAAATTCTACTTTTTTAAAAAGGAAGTCCTAATTATTGGGTCTTTGAATTCTTTTTGAAGCACTAAGATTTTATAATGGTTAAAATGATTTTGAAAGTTACTTTGTTCAAAAGAAGGCCATGTCTACATTTGCAATTTTCTGATGTAAAATAAAATGGAAATCTTATGATTAGTATTAGCAGTAAATATTTGACTCATTGGATATAAATTTTTAAATTTTATATAAATATTTATAGTTCCATTGTTATCCATTATCCACTAAGTTATGAATAGAATAGAATTTTTTTGAACACTTTGATATAGAGTAAAATGGGGCATAAACAGGTTCTTCCATCTCAGATAGGAGATTTCGTTACAGAAATACTTAAAGAGTATAACAACTTTATAAGATAATACTAAAGTATATTCTATAGGAAAAGCACTTTTGTAAAGTTTTAGAGTGTTCTTTTTCTTATGGTACTCTTCTTTCATGGACTCCAAAACAATAAAAAAAAAATAGGTGATCTTCAGGGCTGTTTTCATTGCCCCTGTTCTTTTACAGGCTCATTTTATTGTGTAATAATATAGAACCAGAATGACCTCCTTAGGTAGCCATAGAAATCATTTTTAACTAACAAAAGTTTTTCCTGGCCCCTTTCAAAGGTTCTTTGGGTCTAAATCAATGTGGGATTTGTATTCTTTTCAAGCTTTTAAAGACACTGCCTTTGTATCTAAATGTTAATAGCTAATAGACTATTAAGACAAAATCAATATACATGTTTTTTGTCATTTTCAGTTATGGACCTAGACAGTTGAGATTTCAGCGAACTAATTTTGCCACTCACGTAACGTTAAAAAAAACTACAGCAAACCGTATTTTGTGACTTCTGGTCCAGTGTCCCATAGTAATAGTATATCATGAAAATATAAAATGCACTGTTCTGGTTTATAAGCAGTAATGCAGACCTTCTTACAAGTTGTACTGAACCAAAGAAATTTATTTAGGGTCCAAAAAATATCCCCAAATGCTTACATAATTGAGGCTAACAAATATTTTTTCGTAAGTTATCTGAATACATTCATTTCCATTATCAACTACTGTTAGTGAATTTTTTTCTGCCAAAATTACCCTGTTAATGGGCTCTTTTCTTCACATCACTTTGCTAATGTTTGTTTTTACCACAAAGACAAAAATCAGATTTTGTTTTGTTTTTTCCCCTAGAGAAAGAACAATACAAGTTAGTTGGGAAGACAACACATGATTTATAATTTTCTAAAAATTCTGTAAATATTTTAAATTATTCTAAAAATAACTGCTGACAAATGTTAATGTTTAAAAATGTGCTTTTTGTTATGATGATTGTTTTTAATAAGTATTCAATATTTATGAATTTCTGGTTTTCCTCTAAATATTGAGACATTTGTTAGTCATTACCAGGAATACTGTATGTTTAAAAGTTGCCAAATAATAAACTGTAAAAATATCTAGAAGTTATTCTTTGGATTTAACTAAACTATAGATTGGCCATTTATATCTTAAAACGTCTGTGCTGCATTTTTAAAATCTCTGAGGCTGATGGATCCTCCATCTGCAGGCAACATCTGCTGCTGATGGACCTCTTTTGCAGTCTTAAGTATATTTTATTATTAGTAACACCACCACAGTCTTTTATGCTAAAGGTAGTTCATTGTGTATGAAAAAGGTAAAGCCAATCTTAGCATTTGCTAAAATTGCAGAATTTCTGCATTTTGGTTTAATAAATTTATACTGAGTACCTTCTACATTCCAGGTACAATGCTAGGGTAAGAATACAAAGATCACCAAGACAGCACCTACCCTCAAGGAGTTCATACTTTGAAGTATATCCCTTTATGTGGTTTTTATGTTTTGTTTTTTCCCCCTATATAACAGTATTCTGAAATGTTGTTTGTAGTTTTAGGTGCAAAAGAGGGGTGGAGGGGCACAGTGGTGAGTAGCCTGTAATTGACTATGAAGAATAAATGAAAACTAAAGTTTCAACAGATTCTGTTTTGGAGGAATAGTCATTTTAGGAAATTACACATATAAATTCCTTTGAAATAGCGGTATTAAAGGAATGACAAGGAGAAATAGTATTGGCAACAAAATGACCAGAGCATTTTATTCTTTCACTTTAAATAATATGCCTATAGATATTGGTTAAATTAAGTTAAGATTGCCCTAGTTATGAAGCTGATAGCTCTGAAAGTCGCAATGACTCTCTTAGTCCATTTAGATACTAAATAAATGGAAGGAGATTCTTTCTCATTAACATATATTAACATAAACTTATTTCAAATGCTGATTTTATTTTATTTTTTCCCATAAACTTTGCATTTATTGAAGAGATTTTGCAGTCTTCTCTGGGCCTCTTGCAACCATTTATTTATTTATTTTTATAATAAAATAAGTTTTATTGAATATATTTGTTTACAATATATAGTATTATATATATTTGTGTATATGTATACAATATAGTTTACAACATAATGTTATGGGACACATATAGATAGTAAAGTGGTTACTAGTTATTATAGTGAAGCAGATCAACAAATCTGTCATCTCACACTGTTACTATTTTTGTGACAAGAGCAGCTAAAATTTAACAAAAGTTCCTAATATAGTACAATTTTATTAGCTTTAGTCTCCATGTGGTATATCTCTAATCTTTTTCATCCTATATATCTGCTGTTTTTTATATCCTTTGACCGACATCTCCCCACTTCCTCCCATGCTACCCCTGCCCATGGTAACTACTATTTCATCCTTTATCTCTGTGTATTTGAGCTCTTTCTTCTATTCCACATATAAATGAGATCATACAGTATTTTTCTTTCTGTGTCTGGCTTATTTCACTTACCATGATATCCTCCATGTCCAGTCATATTGTAGCAAATGGCAAGACCTCCTTTTTTAAGGCTGAATAATACTCCATTATGTGTTTTATTTTCTTAATCCATTCATTCATCCAATTATTTTCATATCTTGGCTACTATAAATAATGCTGCAGTGAACATAGGAGTGCGTTATCTATACTTACAGGGTGATGATTTCATCTCCTTTGGGTATAAACCCAGAAGAGGAATTGCTGGATCATATGGTAGTTCTATTTTTAATTTCTTTAGGAACCTCTGTACTGTTTTCCACAATGGCTGTACCAACCTCCATTTCCACAAACAGTGTACCAGGGTTACGTTTTCTCCACACACTTGCCAGCTTTTATATCTTGTCTTTTTGATAATAGCCATCCTTATGGATGTGAGATAATATCTCATAGTGGTCTTAATTTGCATTTCCCTGATATCAAATGCTGATTTTAAATGTTATGAAAGCATCTAAGGATGTTATAATTCTGTTTTCTACTGAGATAAATTTCTAACGTTATGAATGCCCTTGTTTTTAGTAATGAAGCAGGGCCAGACTTTCAGATAAAGGTGGAAGTGTATAGTTGCGGTACAGAAGAATCTTCCATAACCAATACACCAAAAAAACTGGCTAAGAAACTTAAAACATCTATAAGTAAAGCAACAGGAAAGAAAATAAATTCAATGCTTCAAGAAGAGGATCACGAAACATGCTTGCCCTTCAATTCTACTATTTTGTAAGTTTTCTAATACAATATTTATGGTGACATAATATAATTATACATTTGTGGTATTTTAAAGTTTTGTATGTGGAATGTATGCTTACATTTTAGATGGAAAAACATCCTGAAGCAGAAACAAAACTTGGTTGACATTTACCCAGCTGAAGTATTCTTAATGCCTTACTTTAAAAAGGTAGAAAGTTTGTTGACAGAGTGATTTTAATGCTTTGGAATTCCAATACAGGATGAGTGTCCCTTACCCAAAATGCTTGGGACCAGAAGTGTTTCAGATTTTGGATTTTTTCAGATTTTGGAATACTTGCATATATATAACGAGATACATAATGGGATAGGACCCAAGTCTAAACATAAATTCATTTATGTTTCATATACATCTTATACATGTAGTGTGAAGGTAATTTTATACAATATTTTTAACAATTTTGTGCATGAAGCAAAGTATTAACTGTATTCTGTCACATAAAATCAGCTGTGGAATTTTCCACTTACAGTGTCATGTTGGTGCTCAAAAAATTTGAGATTATGGAGCATTTCAGATTTTAGATTTTTGGGTTAGGGATGTTCAACCTATATCTCCCCAGAAAGATGAAATGTTTTTCTTGAAAAAGGACTACATATATATATATGTGTGGAAGTATTTGCTACATATCAGTCTACTAATTGAATTTCTATATATATGTCATGCTTTATTCTTATGGATTTTTAAAAATATTTTATGTCTTTAACAAAACTACATTATCATTATCACACCTAACAAAATAAAAAATAAGTCCTTAATATCATTTAATATCTAGTCTATATTCAAATTACCCAATTCTAAAAAAGTCCTCTTGTGATTTGTTTGTTCAAATCAGAATCCAAACAAGGTCTATAGTGTTAAATTTAAAGTGAATCTTTTAACTTTCTTTTAATCTATTACAATTTCCTGCCCACTTTTTTCTTGCCATTATGCATTGAAGAAACCAGGTCTTACAAAATTTCTGATATTTTGCATTTATCTGATTGCATCTTTGTGATCTTTTTAAACAACTTTTTCTGGCCTTTATATTTCCTATAACCTGGTAGTTAGACCTAGAGGATTGATTAGATTCAGATTCTCTTTTAGGGCAATAATAATTCATATTTTCATATGTACTTTCTACTACCTTCCATTAGGAGGCTTTGTCCTACTTTTGATAATGTTAAAATTGATCAATGGGTTTAGGTGTTGCGAGCCTGTTCCATCCATTATAAAATTCCGTATCGATCTATTATCTAATGGTTTTAGCAGCCATTGCTGATCATTTCTTATTTCATTACGGATTATAATTTGGTTACTTTCTAAATCTGTCCTGCATTTTTTCTTCTAAAGCAGAATAATGCAAAGAACTTTTTCTCTGGGTACAATTGCAATAAAATTGGTAGAGAAAAGAGAAGAAAAAATACTTGATTCTTACATTCACCAAATTTTAAAATAATAAGTTGATACCCTAGCAATCATGGAGGTGATCAATGTTGTTTTATATAAACACTTGAATTTTTATATATTTGTGTTTAATCTATTATATTCTCTTTGATGCCCAAATTGTTCATCAGTGGGAAACATTCAAGCTGATTTCTACATCCTTTTGACACAACTTGATTTTGATAGCTTTTTTGCTTTCTGACACAGTAAGATGTTCCCTCTTCATCTTGTATTTTTCTGCAGGGGCTTAAATCCCCATTTCTCCAAGGGGCCCTGGTTTCTTTCAGATACTTTTCTTTAAACATTGTGTTCGTTTCTTCACAAATAGTTTTATGTTTATGTTTCTTTGGAACACTGTTGATCAGGCTGCATTCCTAGAATTTCTTTGCTTGTCTAGTAGAGTTGGCTCTTCAGCATGTCAATAACTTTACTGTAATTATAAAAAGCAAAGTATTTTAGGTATAGATCCTGGAAATGTCAATCATCAAAATGTAATTGAATTACTCCTTTCATGTTAGATATATTACATGTGAAATATGCCTTGGCACTCTAGCATAGTGACTTTCAATCTATTTTGATTGAGATTCATGCTAAGAAATACATTTTACATCATGACTGAGTGCACAGTTACATAAGTGGGTAGATTTTATGAAGTAATACTTAACCTAATTACTATTTATAATAGAGTATCGAGCATTTTCTTATTCTATTGTTTTCTGTTTTTAAAAACTACTGTTTGTGAATCACTAAGTTGATTTCATGATATATGTATGAATGGGTCCCAATCCACAGTCTGAAAAACAGTCATAGAAGATGTAAATCTTTCCACTACAAATGTCATTTAAAAGGGGCAAGGGACCTTTAATTTTCTTCTTTAGATTTACAACCATCTTAAACACTTTACTACAGTAAGATTATTTCAAGGATTTGCTGGAAGGTACTTTAATTCAACCCTAAAGTAGTAAGTAGAATTATTTCTTTTTGATGATTAGATAATTCTATTTCCAAGTTGAAACAGATTTTAGAACAGAAAGAGACCTTAGAGGTAACCACCTAGTTTAGTAATTTTAAAATTTTTAAGCAGTGAAGCTCCCTATTTTAAAAAAATTACAGGACTAGTAATTTCTACTATCCAACTAAGTGATACCTTGGACAAGTTACATTTTTCCTTGGGCCTCAGTTTTCTCATATGAAAGATAAAGATGCTTAGCAACAGCCATTTCTTTTAGAAAGCTCCTTAGAGACATTTCTAGGGTTTCATGCACCTTTGAAGCATGTAAATACAATGAATGGACTTCTAAAACAGTTTAAAATTTCATTGTTTGGCAGTGAATACTTAATATTTTTATTCTGTTATTTATTACTTGTGTCACCCAAGACATTAATTTACTATCCGAGTTTTTGTTTTTCCCTCTGTAAAATGGTACATGGCAATAATAATGATAATAAAATAATATCTATAGGAACTCTATAGGATCATTATGAGATTCAGTAAGATAGTTCATGAACTTGGAATAAAGTAAGCATTTAATAAATGTGGCATTATTTCCATTATTTTTATTATTTTTACTGTTCCCAGACCAGTACTTTTTCTAAGCCTTTTTTAAAACTCACACTGAAGTCTTCAGTGCAGAAACTGGACATAGGATTATAAAACATAGCCATATCTGTTTTCACTTATAACCATGTTTATAATTTTATAGGAGAAGATCATCTAAGTGATGTTAGGACCTATCTTTAACCAATATTTCTCTTTGAAGCTTAGAGGCATTTTTGAGAATAACATTATTGTATATTAAGCTCTTTTTAAAAGAGACAGGTATATTTATCTTAAGTGTTCATTGTCCTATTCACGTTTTATCATTCTACTTGGTTTATTCCTGAATCTAAACACTGATTTTCTCTATGAACATTTCCCATGAAACTTGTATGCTATTTGCTTATTATACCATTAAAGTTGGTCAAAAGATAAGATAAAATATTTTACACCATTTCACCAAATCACGTTCTCCTAATACCAGCATTCTAATAACCTTCTAGTGTGAATCCAGTTATACTAGGTTAACTCATAGCCCAGGACTGCTCTTACCTAATACTTCTTTAACTGACCACTTCAGCACCATGATAGGAGTTTGAGAATAGCATTAGTAATCAGCATGCGTAAGGCGATCAATTTTGTTTAATAGTGATCTACATCAATGTGATGATTTCTTATATAGCTTTCAGTCTTTAACCAAAATGGTCACATATAAAACAATACATATCTTCCCTAGTAATATGACGTGTGACCAAATATAGCTGTTTTTCCTGACAAGTGTGCATTTTTTTAGACTACCATTTAAACTAGTCATTTATTTTTTCATAACATTCCATCTCCTCCAAAAATGTTATAACAATTGGCCTATTTGATAGAAAAAATGTAGCTGATTAAACTTTTGGGAACTCAATATTAGGGTTGGCTAAAAGGAATGAGTGTAATGTTTTAGAAAGAAAATGTTATCCTGACAAGAATGTTTTAAAAGTGAGGTCATTGTTGGTTTTGGAAGCACTGGCACTGTGATTAGTCATGGTTTAAAAATGAAGTTACTTGAAATACCATCATAAAGTATTGTTTGATCTGAAAGAAGACAGTGAACATTTTTGGTAATTTTTAGTATGCTCCCTAATATGATTCATTTATTCATTTTATTTGTGGAACTTAGCACACTAAAATTCCTTTAACTAGATTTTCCCAGTGCCTCTAATAGCTGAATTATTAATAACTATTTTATGTTCCTTGATAACTATTTAGTACATTATTCTTCATTGTATAAATATCCATCATTTAAACAATCATCTTGTGAAAACTGGTAGAATTGAGAGTGATTATTTTACTTGACAAAAGATGTATTAAAATTTTTAAAAATAAGCCACCATACTACATTTTAAATAAGATTGAAGTTACAAAACAAGTATCCGAACACTTGTATAGAATAAATGGATTATTTATGTTTTTAGGAACAATGTTGTTAAAGATAATGCAGTTTATAAACATAACTAAGGTATTATTCAACTACTGCATATAATAAATTATTCATTTAATCGTCTTTGAAATGATTATTTAGCAGTTATATCATATGGTACATTCAAAGGTTAATAAGTCATGGTCCCTGCACTCAAAATTTTTTGCAGTAAAAATGTGGTCACTATGTATCTGTTTTAACAGGAAAAGTATCTTAATTTTAAGATATTTCTTAATGAGGTATAAAGGCAGTATGGTGTAGTGGGGTTCCTTTTTCAATATACCTCTTGCTAGCTACAGGCAAATCGTCACATTCTCTGAACATGAGTTTCTTCATCTGAAAATGTGGACCCCAAAATATCTGCCCTGCCTACCTCAAGTAGTTGTTTTGAACCTTAAAAAATATATTGCTTGTCAAAATGCCTTAAACTGCACATACTGGTTTGCATGCGATTGATTTTTAGGGATGGTTTTCATCCTGTTACTACTTAACCACGTTAATTATTTCATTAGAAAAATAATATAAACTTGGGAAATAGAAGCTAGAAG